TTCAGGTAAGAGGCGTATTAGTAACCTTCTCCCCTTAATATTTAAGATTACCTTTATTAACTTTATAGTATTATTATACTTAAGTAATATAAGACTAAAGTATTTAAAGGTTCCCGTTAAAGGATTAAGGGGGGAGAGCTTTTATATTCGTCCCTCTACTTTAAAGTTATTATACTAAAGTCCTAAGTTACTTATTCTTAGCTTTAAGCTCTTAGATTATAATAGCTTAGTTATTAGCGCTATTATTAACGCTATTAATAGATATTATTCTTATAATAAGTATTACTTAGTATTATAAAGTAAACTTATTAAATAAAAGTAATGAAAATATTATAATTTAATAGCTTTTAAAAAGGAATATTATTAAAGAAGGTTAAGGTTACTATTAATAGAAGCTTAAGTTATAACTCTAAGGCGATATAGTATTTTAAAGCGTTATATACTTATTATAATAAATATAAAGTAAGACTTAGATTAATTACTATCGTAAGAAAGAGTATATCTATAAATATAAGAATATCTATCCTTTTATACTTATTTCCTTATCCTAAGTTAGTTAGGTTAGTGATCCTATATTAGATAGCTTACGGTTACTATTATAATCCTCTTACTATAGATTACGGTTAGGTTAGTGACCGGATTACTTTAAGTATCGTGATCTAGTTACGGTTACGTGAGTGATCTCGTTAGTCCGTGCTTTATGTTAGGTCGTGTGCGGGGCTTCCGTCCTGGGCTGTCGGTGATGGCCTGGTCGGGCGTTATATTAAATTAATAAATAATTAATACTTTATTATATTAACTTTAACTTATTAAGGCTATAGAATAAAGCCTTAGTATTATTTATAAATTAGACTTTATTATTAATATATTAGCGATAAGATATTAATAAGGGACTAACGTTTAGGTCTTTATATATTCTTAATAAATAAAGTTTTAAAAATCTTTTAATAAATATTCTTATTTTATAAAGCTTTTAAAATCTTTTTAATAAATATTTATATTATTTATATTAAAACCTTCTTTATAAATTCATTTTAAAATTTTAAATATAATTTTATTATTTTATTTATAAAATATAAATAATTTAATTATTAATTATTTAATAATTTAGATTATATTTATATTAAATTAGAAAATATCTTTAATTTTAATTATTATAACTTAATTATTAATTTAAATAATAATAATATTTTCTTTAAATATCTTATAATTATATATAAAAAATTTATTATAATTCTTTATAATTATAATATATTTAATAAAATATTAAATTAAGAATCTATTCTTATATTTTATTTATAGATTTTATAAATTATAGCTTAAATAATTTATATTTTTAATTTAATTTAAATCGTCTATCTATTAATAGATTAACGATAATCTTCTAAAGAGGATTTAAGTTCTAGAATTATCTTCTTATTATAGTTATCCTATAAAAATTCTAATAGAGTTCTTATTAATTCGTCTTTTAAGCGATATCTATTATAATAAGTAATTAGCTTTTAATTCCTTATATACCTTAGTTAATCTATTATCTAGTTTAACTTAATTATAAATTAAAGTAATTAAAGAATATAAAAGTATTAAACTAAGAGCCTCGATTAAGGAAAGTAAGTAAATTAATAAATAATTAATTAATTATTATATTAACTTTAACTTATTAAAGCTATAGAATAAGGCCTCGATATTATTT